TTATTAGTCTAACGTCCCTTTGTTAGCAGCTTAATGAGACCCACAACTTATTCGCTTAGCTATACTGATAGTAGCTTAATTATATAGAAAGTGGCTTATTTAATAAGCTTTTAGGGAAACTTTATACAAAAAGCCTAAGTAGCCAAAAACAAACCAAATTTCATCTATTCGACCAGTTTTCAAAGCCAGTCTGTTTTTTCAAACACCCCTAGGAAGTGTCACAGCTATATTTTCTTGTTATTTTTGTATTATGAATAATTTATTAATAGCTACGAAATGGGTACATATAAAATACCAAAAATATACATAGAAGAATATATGCATACAAAAAAAATGTACTATAAATGACAATATATTAGTGAGTCAACTCGAATTCAACTCACCACTACTTAAAGCACAAGTTTGGTTAAACACCACTTCTTATTAAGTTTAGGTTTATGAGGTAATTAATTACATATCCTCAATTGTCAAAGTTTCTGATGACATCTCAACACAAAGATGGAGATTTATTTTCTTCTTATAATTATAGCATCAGATTTATCGTTTATTAAATTGATAAGGTCTTAATTTACCGTTACATGACGTTAAGATTAAATAGTTGTGTAAAATACAATAATTTATAAAAAAACGTACTTTGCAACCAAAAAAAAACTTAGGATGTAAATGACGATCACATCCCTGCAATCTTTTTACGCATACTAACTCATAAACTGACTCGTATCAAGCTCATGACCATTGAAATATAAGGTTCAGAGGTCTGTCAAACATTATCATCCATTAAATTCAGATTTACGAGATCTTTAACTACAAATCCTTAAAAGTAAATTTTTTTTACGGCATCCCATCATAAAGATGCCGTCTTTTTGTTGTTACCGACTCGGTTCGATCGAAGAAAGTTCGAAACATTTTATTTTCTAAAATAGTATAATTAATAATGAATTAAATTGTATTTAGTAAGGGTTTTTTTTAATGTTTTGAGGTAACAAAAGGGGGGACCAAAAGGGTATGAGTGGGGTCAAAAGGTGGAGGGTAGGAGATGTCCAAATTTGTTGAAAATTCCAAAAGCAAAAGCAAATTCCACTTATTAATTGTTATTACAATTCAATTAAAGACTTTTTGGCAACCATGGTCAAATTTAATACACCATTTCAACATCAATTTAATGCTTCCCCAATAACTTCTATTATTTTAAATATTATATTTTTATTATTTAATATATGTATTCGAATCCTAATATTAAAATATTTTGTTAGAACCACACAGATGATGTCTGATTGATTTGAGCTTAACTCTAAAGATCAAAAGTGCCTGAAGGTCATAGGTTCAAATCCAAGGAGGAACAAAAATACCTTTGTGGCCATGGAGGTTCAAATACGGTGACTCTGGGCTACATGCAAAGCAGGTGGTCGTCCTGAGATTAGTCAGCTTGCATATTGGGTTGGATATCCAGGTTAATCAAAAAAAAATATTTTTGTTAATTATTTGTTTTTTGTTTTTATTAACCTAAATATCCAACCCGCTATGCGAGCCGACTAATCCCAGGGCGACCACCTGCTTTGTAGATAGCCCGGAGTCACCGCATTTGAACATTCGTGGCCACAAGGGGATTTTTATTCCTCCTTGGATTTGAACCTTGGACCTCCTGGTACTTTTGATCTTTGGAGTCAAGCTCAAACCAATCAGACACCACCCTTATGGTTATTTTGTTTTTAAATTATAGTACATGAAGTTATTTTTCTAAAAGCTAATTAGATTTAAGGAAAGAATTCCGCGGGGTGTTGAAAGAATTTAAAAGAAAACAAAGCCAACAAACAAGTAACAGTAACCCCGTAAAATAAGAGAGACTGAACGGAAAAAAAACCAAACAACTAAAAAAGGCTAGATCGACAACAACACTTGGAGAAACAATTCAAGAATTCCGAGAATTATAGAAAGATTTGGATCTTAAAGATATGCAGTCGAATGACCGAGATAGAAATTCGACAAGAAGGTTATTGCTAAAATCGGCACTTTTGAAGATACAAAAGTTCCTGCAGCAATTCGAATTATAGCTTGCAAAATACATTTTGAAGAACTTACATTACGACTACCACCATCAGAAAAATCTGCTCCGATGAAGAAGATGAGATGAAATCCTCAAAATTCCACCATTTGAACATGTTTTCCGACAACTCCTTGACATGTTTACAACCAAGAAGACAATGTTGCAATGTCAAAAAAAATATATTTTAAATATAAAAAAAAACGTAAAGCGTTTTATGCAAATGCTGAGTATTGTTTCATGTAATCTTGGCATGATCTTCATAATGCCGTAATGGGATGGAATCGGTTTAGCCGCTTGTAGATACTATAATTGGTTTATTTCCTTGTATTATTAAAAAATATTGTTTTATTATTTTATAATGCATTCGTTAAAACATCGGATAATATGAAACCCCCACCTCTATATGATATGTCACTTTTTCGATCAAGTCAATATCATACCTTATTATTTCAAAACCAGTGACATAAGAGCATACGATAGGTATCACTAAATCTTTCACTGTAAAAGATATATTTTTAAAAAATATATTGGTAAAAATGACATTTTTCCTTTCATTTCTCTCCTATTCAAGAACATGAAAAATTATTTTCTTTTCTCCTCAATTAGGAGAACACATCGTCAGTAGGGCTCAAAGTTTTATTCTGCATTTGAATGCATTTATCAGTTACTTTTATGGAGTTCAAACACGAACATTAAGAAATATGCAATAATAATTTATAAATTTGTGTTTTAATTTTTTGAAGAACACGAAGTAAATGTTTTGTAACCACTTGGTTGTGGTGTACTGCATAAGGCCCATGAGTTGGAACGTAAATATCATTCTCCCCGAGTTTGAATTCAAGTTTTGTCAAAACCCTTATGACCATTAGAATCTAACAACGATTACTCTGACCATTCATGGTTATCTTAGAGATTAGTCGATGCATGTAAGCTGACCCAAGTAACTAGAATTTTTTTTTGATAAACAAAATCATGGGAAATAAACAAACCAATTGATGAACTTTGTAACTTACCCTAATATTTTAAAGCAAAAAAATATTAAGGGGGTGTTTGAGATTGCTTACAAAAATAACTTATTGACTTATTTCGGTGTGATATAGGTAATAAATATTTTTGAGTGTTTTGATAAACAACTTATATCGATGTCAAACCGGTAATAAGAAATTATTGAATAATTTAAATCATTCTAACTTATAATAAGTTGATAAACACCTTTTGATTATTGTATTTCAGTGCTTCAATTGTATAATCTGTGCTCCTTTTTAATAAATTTTGCTGCTTTTTAGAGAAAAATATAATACAAAGTGGGCATATATATATATATATGTGTGTGTGTGTGTGGGGGGGGGGGAAATCAAATGTTAACCAACAACTTTGTGTTAACTTTGAAAACCATGGCAACCAATCAAATTTCATTCTTCTTGCAGGTTTATGTCATGTTCACATTTTAATTACAAGGGTATTTCAGTAAATTTATTTGATACGTAACTCCCAAACAATTAATAGGGAGTTACAAATCATCAAATCCCAAAAAATATGCATTTATAATATTAATATTTTGCATTTATAATATTAATATTAATATTTTTTTTAATCTTGATCTTCCATGTTTATTGTTTTATCAGTTTTTAATTTACATAGAAAACACGACAGTAATTTTTTTTGGTATCGATCAAGCTAATATGGATAAACGCAATGAAAAATAAATCGACAACAATTATAAAATTAAAATGGTTTATAATGACAATCGGAGTTCGAGGTCGGGAATTGAAGAAATTAAACAAAAACGAATGTCTTGGTAATAGATTTTTATTTTTTTTAGATTCGTTTTAATCGAAATTAAATTCATTACGATGTGTTGTGTTTTTTATAACTCATCTTGTATTGATAGTTTTTTTCTTTAATTATTAAAATACGTACCTAATTCACATGTTCAAATGGAAATACATGCACGACCCATTTTCATATTACCATATTACCAACTTTTATGAATCATGAACCATTGTGTTCATGTTACTTCTATCATATGAATACAAATGTTATTTTTAAGCTTGATACCAAATCTTTATATTTGTGTAAGTGTTTGCACCCGGTGTTCATATCGTTGGGGTTATGTGTTCATATATTTTATACGATATGAACAAGAGGTGAACACGATATGAACAAGGGGTGAACAACCATATAAGATCAGAAACATATATGAACAAGGGGTGAACAACCATATAAGATCAGAAACATATATGAACAAGGGGTGAACCTTAAACGGTGTGGATGCAATGCATGTATAAAACTCCAATTGACAAAGTATCGCTCATGAACTATTGTTCACAAGCTGTTCATATCGTGTTCATACTTATTTATTTATTTATTTCCTTTCGTATATCATATATTCTTATTATGTTCATAAATGCTATGCAATCCAAGTTCATATATATGTCAAATTTTTGTTCGTATTTGACACAATGATTTATATATATATAGTTGTGTTCATATGGTTCTTACATTAACAAAAAAATCATAGAATTTTTGATTTTGTGACTCCCAATTAATTAATGATATGGGAGTTACATACATTTTTTTACCTAAATATACACTTTTCAACATTGTTCACTTATCTTTATGCAATTTTATGATTATGAATGTTGATATTGTAGATATAATCCAAGGGTTGAGAATTGGTCTTACGGATCTCACGAAAAAGCCTTGGTCTCATATGATCCCAAGTATATATATATATATATATACACATGTATTGGGCAGAAAGAAAGCATACATGTATTGGGGTTAGCAGGGTATTTGTTTTCCAGGTGAAGAGGTTGACATCATAACAGTAGACCACTCCCCAAAAGAAAGAAATTCCTTTGGTATGAATGCTCTGCAACTCTCCTCCCCTTCTTCAATCTGTAAATGCAAGCAAACCCTTTATTTTCTCTTTTTTATTTTTCCATCTTCAATAAATAAATAAACCCTCTCTTTCTCTCTCCTGTTTGGTGAATGGTGACCAACTACCCCTTTCCCTTTCTTTCTTTGATCCAAATAAAGAAAATCAACAATTCCCTTTTCTTTAATCATTATTTTTACAAGTGTTGTGTCCCTTTTCTTGAATTTGTGTATACTCTTCTCCTCTCTCTCTCCATCTCTATCTCTATCTCTATCTCTCTCTGTGTGTTCATGTGCTTCTAGAGATTATTATGAAAAATGGGGTTTGTGTTGCTTTGCTTGAATCTTGTTTTTCCACCTATTTTTCAGATATAAACAGCTCTAAGTTTCAACTTTAATCGAGTGTTTGTGCCTCTGTCTACCCCACACCCATCTTCTTTTCTATTTCTTACCCACATTCTTGAATCTTGGTATCATCATTCTTTGAAGAAAATTCGTACCTGTTTTACGGGAACTTCTTGTCTCTAGGTTTTCTCGTAAGGGGTTTCAACCAAAACCCAGAAAACCCTGGTTTTCATGCCATTAATTCCTCAAGTTCTTGAGCTAATCAGACACGTTTGTGGTGTTTCCACGTGATTTGAGGTGAAACCCACTTCGTTTTACTCGTGTTTTTGGTTAATTTCTTGACTTATTTCGCATTTTAGTTCTTGAAAATTGAGTCTTTCTTGGGATGGTTTTTTTTTTAGGGTTTGAAGAACATGTCCCAAATGGAAGCAGAAAATGGTGATGGCAAGTCCAAGATGGAAGATTATGAGGTTATTGAGCAGATTGGTAGAGGAGCTTTTGGAGCTGCTTTTCTTGTTCTCCATAAGATTGAGAAAAAGAAGTGTGTAATTTTTTTCATCTTTTCCCCATAATAACTCTTTCCCACTACAAATGATCAACTGTCTCTGTGTGTGTTCTTGTGCTTATTTCATATGTCTTCCAATTTGTAGGCTTTAGGGTTCTAAATGCAAGTTCAATTTGGGAATTCTTGAAAATTATAATTAAATCCAACCCGCTATGCCAGCCGACTAATCCCAGGGCAACCACCTGCTTTGCAGATAGCCTGGAGTCACCGTATTTGAACCTCCGTGGCCACAAGGGGATTTTTATTCCTCCTTGGATTTGAACCTGAGACCTCCAGGTACTTTTGACCTTTGGAGCCAAGTTCAAACCAATCCGGCACCACCCTTGTGGTTTTGAATTATTTGGGGTAACCGCAGGTGAACCTAACCTCCATGGCCACTGGCAGCCCCGAGATTCGAACCTAGGGAGAATGACAATTCTATTTTTGTTTTGGTTGTTCTTGATTATGAATTCCATTTCTCAAATTCAATTCGGAATAAGAAAATGGGAGCTCAATTAATTGGATGGATGATTACATTTCAATAAGGCTAAATCCCCTGTTTTATATCCGTTAAATTGCGTAAACACGAATGTATGCTGACTAATGTGCGGTGCGGTGTGATCTTTAACAGATATGTCATGAAGAAGATTCGATTGAACAAGCAAACGGAGAAGTTTAAGCGAACAGCACATCAAGAGGTATTTCTTTTCGTAGTTCTGTTAGTTAATTAATTAGATTTGCAATTGACTTTTGAAGTCAAACATGTTTTTATATGAAAATATGACGTGATCCCGGTTTTATATTTGAAATTTGTTGTACACAAATTAACATGATAGCGATACCCTCTACGTCTTTGGAAACAACGAAAATCTTTGTTAATTTTAGTACTCAAAACCCGGCGGTAATTCTGGACGGGGACACGGGAGGCGTGAATTATGTAAAATTATTAATTTCAACATCTTGTTGAAGTCATATAGTTTCGTTTATGGTGCAATGTCAACGTGGATGGCATCATGGCCAATTTGACATCATAATACTCGAGTTTTTTTGGCAACTGTCTGTGTCCGGGCCAACTTGTGCGCACTTCGACTAATTTCATGGTGGGGTCCCGAAGAACAACTAGGAAAAATCCGCACTGGCTACCTCTGGGAAGGAGTCCCAAGGCCTATTCTTTATTTTCTGGTGGAGCTGGCCCTCATGGCTTAATACATAAAGTTCTTTAAATACAAACCCGAACAGAGCAAAATGAATTAAAAGGTTACTTATTTTATGGTTGTCCAAATCTTGGACTTTTGGGGATCGAGATCAATTGAGAACCTAAAAAATGTTGAGAAACGTGAGAAACATTTGATTGAGTTTCTTCTGAGTCTTAAAGTTCAAGGTGGTATTATTTTTTCTCATGCGAAACAATGTTGTTTCACATGTGGAACTATACATGTATCACTGGTTCTCATTTGATTTTTCCCCCGTGGTTGTGAGGCGAAGGATCGTGTGAGAAGGAGAATTAAGGTGAGAAGCGCAAGAAAAGATATGGACCCTTGATCATCTTTAATCTCAAACCCACTCATGAATTGTGCTTGATACGAGGATTGATCCAGTGCATCTCGATGCATCTCATCCTAATGTGCATCTGAGGGTAGAGATCTCTTGTTACCTTTCTCACCTTAGCTCTCCTTCTCACCAGAACCCAACCCGTGGTTACGAATGGGCATAAAGATAATTTTGGCTTATTTTTGCACTTAATTTGAAACTTCGTCAAAAGGAAATTATTATATTCGACATGCATTCCTTGCTTAAAAAGCTAAGATTTTTTTTTTCATTTTTAATGTTTTAATCGTAGATGGATTTGATATCCCGACTTAATCATCCATACGTTGTGGAGTACAAAGATGCTTGGGTGGATAAGGTAACGCAGAATCCTTTTTTTTCTTCTTGCGTTTGAATTTCCATATATAGGAGATCAAGAGAGGAACCCTTTTGCAAAGTGCAAGGGAAAGATCGTGTACAAAAACTTTAATCGATCATTACGGGGTTCTAACCAACCACACTTTCTACAACGTTCTTTCCTTTTTAGCCATGTCTTTCCTCTGCCCCAACGGCAAAGAGGTGGTTTCCGAGTAGACCCCTTGTTTCTTATGTTTTGACAACTTATGTTTCTTTTGTTTCGTAGGTGGGCATATGCATAGTGACGGCTTATTGCGAAGGAGGAGACATGTAAGTAACTCGTTTGGACCCAAAATAAATGTCCACAATGAAAATGGCATACAGTTTTAGAAATGTGTAATTATTACTCTTTTTAATCAACTAAATGACACTTTTACCCTTAATAATAAGAGAGAAGTTTTCTCCTTTCTCATAGTTAAGAGAAATTTTTTACACTTTTACCCTTGTTACGCTTATAAACTTTTCCGAAAATTGCAAGGGTTAAACGATACTAACTTTTTGGTTGATCAGAGCGGGGCTTGTACGGAAGGCCAGAGGAGCGTATTTCCCGGAGGAGGTGATCTAATAAAACCTTATTTCCGATATCGTTTATTATATATAATCATCAACTATACAATTCTGATTTATCGTTCTATTTTTCTTTTTAGAAACTTTGCAAATGGCTAACGCAACTATTATTGGCGTTGGATTACTTGCATACTAATCGTGTCCTTCACAGGGACTTGAAGGTAAATTCATCTTTTTTTAACCATTAATACGATACTTCTCTCCCGAAATATATTAAAGATTTCCCTTTTTGTGAAGTTTCAATGATAATTACCTCTTTGCCCATGAGTATTAATAAAAAAGATATCGATAACATTGATTTAACATCGACGTCACCAAAGGGTCGTTGGCCCGAAAGGTACCCGGGTTACTCGTAGATCCCAACCTTGGTCGAGTGTGTTTGAGTTTTGCCGTATCTATCACGCCCTCAAGTTTAAATTTTGTTTCCGTCTTATTTCAGTGCTCCAACATATTCCTCACAAAAGAGAACGACATCCGTCTCGGTAAGAATACCGTATAGTCTCGTTAAATTTTTCGGATTCAATTGGTTTTGTTCGACTTCTAAAGTCTTTGGGGGTTTGCAGGTGATTTTGGACTCGCAAAACTCCTCAACTCGGAAGACCTTGCTTCCTCGGTAACCTACTTGTTATGATATCATCTCAAGTTTCAAATTACGTGGTTGATTATTTAATTAAAGTCGAGCGTGATTTTTAAAATTTAAATTTTTTATTGGCTCTCGAATCTGTAGGTTGTCGGCACCCCCAACTACATGTGTCCCGAACTCCTTGCAGATATTCCTTATGGCTACAAATCCGATATTTGGTCCCTTGGTAAGTATATATAATATTTATATACGGCAAAACTCACACACGCTCCCTCAAGAATTGAAACTTGACCTGAAAAGAGGTTGGGATCTACCAGTAACCCGGATACGGTTGGGCCAATGAACCTTCGGTTATAGAGGGGTTAATCTTGATGGTTGCTACGAGGCTCGCACTTCATTTTCCATTGCTTGTAACACGCCGTTGTGTTGCTTATTTTTTAATTTATTGTTTTCGATGCTTAATGTTTCCGTCATCTTAGGTTGTTGCATGTTCGAGATTTGTGCGCATCAACAACCATTCCGAGCTCCTGTAAGTTCTATCTATGCTATTATGTTACATTACGTCCTTTACGGTTGGCGTTTTACGAACTTATTTGATCCATTTTCGTATATTTAATCAGATTTTTTTTTTCTTTTTTGGAGATTTTGATTTTTGATTCTTCGTTTTACTGGAATTTTGGAGAATCTGTTGGAGCTGACGAAATGTCTGACCCTACAGGATATGTCCGGACTTATCAACAAGATAAACAGATCCTCCATTTCTCCTCTCCCGATCGTGTATTCTTCGACATTGTAAGTATTTTCTCATCTCGATTGTTAGATAACCAAACCAAACGAGCCCGGTATATCCCAGGTGAAGGTGGGGTCGGGGTGGGATGTACGCAGATCTGTCCTCTACCTCAAAGAGTAAAACAACTATTTCCGTGAAGCCAGATATAACATGGAAATTTTCTCTGTTAATTTTTCAGGAAACAGATCGTAAAAACGATGTTAAGGAAAAGTCCCGAACATAGACCAACTGTAAGTCGAACATCTAATATGCTCCCTGGAATTTCGTTCGATTCTATCTAATATTCATATGTGAATCTATAGGCTGCAGAATTGCTAAGACATCCACATTTACAACCATACTTGCTCAAGTGTCACAACCCGTCTTCCGTTTTTCTCCCCGTGAAGCCTCCGAATAGCCCGAAGGATAAAATTCCGAAAAAGAATTCACCCATGAAACTGAATGATGGGAAAGACACCCGAGAGAGAGATGTACAAGTTGTAAAGCAGAAAGTACAAGTAGCAAAGCATGAAGAGAATGGTGACCTGCCGGTCAGAAGTTTACATAACAACCCCATATTTGCAATCGTGGAAGAAACCAATCTCGAGACCAAGAGGGTGGACCCCACGAGCTACTTTAACGACAGCGGGGACACGAGTTGTGAGACGACGACGGTATGTTATGGTGACGGGCCGGAAAATTCTGACTCTTTAGCGCAAAAGGTGAGTACGAAATCGAGCTCATTGGATCTTTCTAATGGAGAACAGGAAGAAACGAGCCCCCAAATCGTCGAGAAGCTTGATGAGGGTAATTTAGGGAATACGATAAAAGAAAATCACGTGGAGATTACATCGAATGCGGGTTTTAGCGAAAAAGGCGAATCTGTAGACGAAGAGAACATTTCGACCCCGACCGCCATTTGTGATGAGGTGGATTCCGAGCAACCAGGATCCGTTGAACCCAAACCAGTCGAACCCGTTGACCAAGAACCGCCGCCACCCTTGAGGCAAACGGAGAAGGGTGCACCGGCTGCTGAAACTCCGGCAACCAAACTCACCCCATCATCCGAGACCAACTGCAAGGGTGAATGGCTAAACCCGACTCAGCAAAGAGCCGATGCGCTCGAGTCCCTGCTCGAGCTATGCGCACGGTTGCTAAAACAAGAGAAACTAGAAGAGCTTGCCGCCATTTTGAAACCGTTTGGCGAAGAGACGGTTTCGTCAAGAGAAACCGCGATTTGGTTGACGAAAAGCCTCATGGGTGCACAGAAATTCGCCGGAGGATCTTGAATTCGTCTTCTTTTTAGTGGATCGACACGAAAACCGAACTTATGACCTTTCTGATTATAGTTTGATAGAGTTTTAAGTGTGGATTTGGGGCCAGAAAATGTGTTCTAAAAGAGGATTTGAGTAATTTTAGGCCTTTGAAAAGTGTGGGGGATGACTTTCTTAATGTAAATACATCCTTAGCATACAAAGGGCTTCAAATTTACCCTTTTTTTTAGTGTTTGATTGTTGGTGTGGGATCTCTCTTTTTATGGGTGGTGTTTATGGTTTCATTATGTTTACAAGGATTATTCTTGTAATTTGTTGTGTGTGTTTTTGGTATATAATGTGATTTTGCTATTGGTGGATGATGTCATTCTACTTTTAGTAAAATACCTGTTTTATTTTTTGGGATAGAGGATAGGTCTGCATATATTCCATTTTTATATCTTACTTTCCAGTAAGATGCATGTTTGTATCTGTTTGGTTCTATTTTGAGATTAGTTTTGTTGACGGTAACAAGAAGGATTGGGTTTTGAAAACCTGGTATGTTATGACAAATTGATACTTATTTTAACGGGTAACATGGAACCGAGTGTGTATTAGATCCATTCTGATTGTAATTAAGTTATACCTTCGTTAATACTTGATGTTACAGGTGTTATAGTTAAGTCATATGTTAGACCCCCTAAATTGGGTTAACGTGTTACTTTCATCGAAACTAATGGATATATATATATATATATATATATATATATATATATATATATATATATATATATATATATATA